ACCCGCAGGCCGTGGCTATGCCACAGGAAATAATGATACAGAGTCATGATTGCTTGTTCTTGGGTTAGACAACCGGTCTTCAGGATACAGACCATGGTGATAACTGAGGTTACGCAATGGGACCTGGGCAAGTGGGGGCAGTGACAAGAGGCAAATGTTTCACCCCATCTTTATACTTCAATTGATGAGAAGGTCAAAGCTTTAAGGTATTTTTTTTTTTTTTTTTTTTTTTTTTAATGCTAAGATAAATGCAGTATGGAGTTGAAACAGTAGGGACAGGGATGGAGCCATCCCTGGCAATGGACTGCTAAGCATCTGGTGCATATTTCTTTTTCTTCTTGACAAACAAGCAGCCCTATCAGCTCTCCTTGCAAAGATCTGACTATCAGAAAGGGTTCTGGCCAATGAGGTGTGAACACACGTGCTTCCTGCTTCCCCTCCCGTCTTAATGGTACTACTGTCCAGGGTGACCTGGAAAGCCCTGAGCATGTGTGTGTGTGATCAAGCTTCTACCCCACTCTACCCCAAATAAACCACAGGTTTCTGTTTTTGTTTGTTTGTTTTTTCTTTAATCTATAGAAAGATCTTGAATTTTTTTTACATAATGAGTAAACAAATGCCTAACTTTCACTGTGTTAGAATCATTGAATTTGAGGATGTTTTTGTTAGGGGTTGCCTTCTCTAACCAACATGTTACTTTTTTAGTGTTAAAAGATAGGTTGTAAGCAATTAAAAGGAAATGATACTGAGCTTACTAAATTCTCAAGTCTTACTGAAGCTTAACTCGTTAAGTAAAAGAGAATATTCAGTCCATCCACACAGAAAGCATCCAATAATTTACCATTCTGAAAAGGGATGACCAGGGCACTATTCATCAGTAAAGCCTACAGGTTCTCCTAATTTCCCTGCCTGTGGCCTGTAGCAAGTAAAAGAAAATCCAAGAAGTACAGGATCCAGAATGGAAGCAGACAGATTCCACAGGGATGGTCTGAACACTCAGTCTCCTCTCTGCCATCTTCAGAGTCTGCAAATGGGCCGTTTTATGAATGTTGCCACCATCTATCCAAAACAGGGAATTTTAATCCGGTCCTCCCTCCTTCAAAGATGGGCCTGTCTGAAATGGGTAAGGATTCAGCAGCAGCACCATCTTTAAATTTTTGAAATTTTTTTTGTTTTGTTTTGCTTTTACAAAATAAAACAACACATGGGAAGTTTTCATTTCTCTTTTTATAAAGAACACACATGACCAAAAATGCTGGCACAGAGTGTAAACTGGTACAGCCACTTTAGAAACAACACCCAAAGGACAGTCCATCACACCACGCAGATACAGGCACATTCATGCTCACCACAGCTTTATTCACAACAGTAAGGAAATGCAAGGAACAGACATGAAAATGTGGCTCACACGTACAATACAGTTTGATTTAGCCATGAAGAAAAATGAAACTGCAAAAAAAAAAAAAAAAAGTACTGAATGAGGTTCCTGGGCCCATCTCATACAGATGTTAGCTTTAGTTCTGTGTTTGTTTAAAATGGAGAACTGAGTACCTGTGGAAAACTAGACACCAGGGATATGATATGACATACATACGTATATATATATATATATTAAAGTATAAAGGGAGAAAAATTGGGGAGTTGTAAGTTTAAGCAGGTATTGTGAGACTGGAGAAACAAGGAAGAGCAATAAAAAAGCTACAAAATAGAGATAAGGGGAGTTGCTATGCTCCTAGAGGCAATGGGTTAAAAACAAAGCTCCCTGACCTGGTTGTAGTCTGTGTCCACAGGACACAGTTAGAGGGGAAAGCCAGGCCCCAAAGATGTTGTGAGTGCCACCATGTGGGCACTGGGAATTGAACCTGTATCCTCTGCAAGAGCACCAAGTACTTTAACCCTCTGAGCCATCTCTCCAGCCCTTGCTTAATATTTTAACACACAGAATGCTACTAAATCTTGAGCACAGTTTTTGGCAGGGCTGAGGCAAAAGGCCTAATCATCAAGAAGAACAATCTAAAGATGGAATCTTAAAAAAGAATACAATATAAATTATTTAACTTTTAAAAAGCATTGGACCTCATGGCTTACAACACGACATCCATTTATAAGAAGCTGGGAAACAACACTGGAGGATTTTCTTGATTAAATCAGCTGCCCTGATAAAAACTATAAGGGGAACAGTATGATCATACCAGTAAACACAAATCCCATCTCAAAAACTCAAGCGAGCCCACTGAGCACCGCGATCAGCCAGAGAAGCAAAAGGCATTTCTGCACCAAGAAGGCTATGTGAAGGAATGAACTATGGTGAGGGGGGAAAGTCCCGTGAAATGGAAACACCTGGTTCTGGCTTTATGAGCTCTCTGGTTGCCCTGAGAGCTACAAGCCACCATCTAAAGGTATAGGGAGATGATGTCCAAGAGGAGTCACAGATGACCAACAAGCCACAACACCGGGGAATCAGCCTTACCCTGAGCCCCTCTCACCAGCCATTGCCTGTCCTGTGATCTCACTACAGATGAAAAGCAGACCCTCACCTAACATGTAGCATCGATTTCAGAGAGGGATTCTAAGCTGAGAGGATCAGCAAGATGCTGACATTAGTATTTTGAAAAGGAGAGAAAGAAACAGCTGAGCCCTTGACTACTCAGCTGATATTTCTCTATTCATTCTCTTGGCATCATTAAAATTTAACTGAAATTCTTTTTGAAATGCACAATAATGGATTAAGGGAATAAAAGTTTTAAAACAATGGCCTAAATTAAAAGAAAATGGTATGTGGTTTTTCTGTCATGTTAGGCCAGCACAGAGCTCACACACATGAACCATCAGTGTTCAGTCCATAGCATGCTTGCCAGCCAAGCATGAGGACTTCAGTTCAGAAGTTGGGAGTGGCCCATGCTGGGGAGGCAGAAGCAGGAAGATCTTTGGGGCTCACTGGGCAGCCAGCATAGCTACTTGGTCATCTCCAGGGCATTCAGAGAGCCCTTCCCAAAAGACGGGTAGATAGCTCCTGAGGAAAGGTCTCTGACCTACACACACACACACACACACACACAGAGAGAGAGAGAGAGAGGGGGGGGGGGGGGAAGAAGGCAAGGGAGGGAGAAGAGGTAAAGAAGAAAAGAAAGAAACTGGCCATCATGGCTGGGGAGATGACTCAGCAGGTGATGGCATTTGCTGCCAAGCCAGATGACCTGCGTTCCAATGGGGGTGGGATGGGGTGGGGGGAACTGACTGCAAGTCATCTTCTGACTTCCACATTCAAGCAAGTGGCACAAGTATACACACACCCAAAATAAATACAAATTTAAATTAAAAAATCATCAAGTATGGGCAAGTGGCACACCTTCCTTCTGCCTTTCTAGAAAAGGAGAAACCCAAAGGAAACAGAACCCAAGCACCGAAGAGAAAACATGGTCTATTGACTTCGTCAAATTAATGCTTGTGATTCACACAGAAACAGAACAAAGGTAGAAATGAACGTGTTTAATTTACAGGAAAAAGTCTCCTAGCGAGTCTGTTTCTGTTGTTTCAACCAGCAAATAGCATGGTGAGCACCACGGTGTGGCAGGTGGTGTTCTGACAGCCACAGGCTGTATACCCTACATCCTTGTCCACAGAGTGACAGCACAAAGCCACCTCCTGCCTCTGTAAGACTTTCAGACTCATCTGAATGTAAAACTAAAGAACGGACCCACGGGGAGGGGGTGGGAGTGGGAGAGGGCTGGGAGTGGGGGAGGGGTGGGAGTGGGGGAGGGGTGGGAGTGGGGGAGGGGTGGGAGTGGGGGAGGGGTGGGAGTGGGGGAGGGCTGGGAGTGGGGGAGGGCTGGGAGTGGGGGAGGGCTGGGAGTGGGGGAGGGGTGGGGTGAGAGTGGGGATGGAGGGTCTTCTTTGCCTCTTTTTCCCCACATCTTGCAGGTAATAGAACACAATGATCTGAAGTGACCGGGTTGTTGACAGCAACGTCTTAGAACATACCACAATATGACTGAAGACAGAGGAGCTAACAACACTGTCTGTGATGTGAGACTCTTGTGAGGGTTAAAAGGGGCAGCACAGGGGCTTGGAGAAAGTGATGGCTCAGTAGATGTCAGCCCTTGCTCCCCTTACAGAGGACCTGAATTCAGCCTCCAGCACCCATATCAGTCAGTGCACAACTACTGCTTAAGAAATTCTACGCCCTTTTCTGGCCTCTGTGGGCACCTGTTTTCTCTCTCTCTCTCTCTCCCTCCCTCCCTCCCTCCCTCCGTCCCTCCCTCCCTCCCTCCCTCCCTCTCTCCAATGGCTGGGGCTGCTCAGGATCAAGATACAGGGTCTAAAGCTGACCATTACTACTAAGGGCTATGAGACACCAAGCAGGTTTTTGAAGCTTTCAAAGCTGCTCCCCCATCGCACCGAGCCATCTAGAGAGGGGTTCTGAGTATGGAACACTGGTCCATAGGACACAGGCACCACTAGTGGAGGTACCGATTCAGTGCCTCTCCAGAAGGACCTTCCCATCTGCAAACTCTACTCCCACAAACATCTGGATTCCAGCAGGTCCTTGCTGCTCCAGCTCAGCCCCTCAACGCTTCTCTGTGATGGTGAGAGCTCTGTCCCCTCTACAAGGCCAACTGTGATCACAGCACCACGAGGATTCCAACTGCTAAGTCAACTCTCCAGCTCGCTGTTTGTACGCCTCACCTTCAAAGGCCTCCGCAGAAGGCACGGCCATTTCTCCCCTGCTCTCAGGGTTCCCTTACACTGCTGCTGCCTAAGCAAAACCAACTGCATTACTCCCAACAACGCCCACAGCGTCTTATCTGACAGCAGGCTTGTTCTTGACTGGTGTGGAGGATGTGTACTATCAGACTGTCCCGTATCAGTTAGAAAATAGAACTCTTTCAAATTTAAGACTGATCTTGTTAGCTCTGGTAACTTTAGTTTCCAAAAAGTTAACATAGTTTTAATTTCACAATTTTATATTCACAGCTTAAACACGCACGCGCTCCTTTCACCTTAATTTAAGCAATGGTTGGGTCACCCACTTCTTTAACTTCCTTTTCCCAAATGAGGTTCTGGTGTGGTCCAAAACCCAAAACAAACTTCCTTTGGTCTTCATATCAGTCTGAAAAAGATCAGAAACAAGTTTTGTTAAAGAAACAACTGCAGGTTACAATATAGCCCCGTAGTATATTTATGTTGTTGTTTATGTGTCCTAGTTAGTTCACCTGCTGTAATTGTTCTCCAGTGTAGTGCCTGGACAGGGGGCTGTCTGCATGCTAGGCAACCGTTCTACCTCTAAACATCCTCAGCCCTCTTGATTTTAAATATTGTGTTCCTCATAAGAAGTGCTCCCTCAATGTGTGAGGAAGGAAAATGCAGCTGTCCACACAAGGGAAAGTAGGGATATGTCCTAAGTAAATTGGGTTAACTGTGAATAAACTATTCTCAGGCCTCTGTTGATGAGGCCACAGGTAGGCGACAGAGGTAAATAGAGAACATTACTTCTCAGCCTCTGTGTCTATTAGAACCCACACCCTGACCTGCAAGGGACTCTAAGTCACAGCTTGGTGACAGGTGACTCTGCCTTAGGAAGTGGATTTGAGAACTGACTCTAGCAGGTCTGCCTGAGATGTGACAGGGACAAGGAGAAATGCAGGGCTGTGTTTACAGGTTCTATGGAAACTCCTCCAGCCAAGGGACAAGTGCTCATCCTGCTTCCTGTTTCCTATCAAGGGCTGGTGTGCAGGGCCAGGGAGAGACACCTACAGCAGGGTTCAGGGGTTACACAGCACCTCCATTACAGAAGGGCAGACAGACAAAAGTGTTCCTGGATTTAAGAAAAAGGGCTGGACTGCATGGGACAGATTAGAAGATGAGGAAATTGCAAGAATCAAGAAAACAAATGGGTATTTGGTATTTACATGGACACAGCAATAAGTACTTAGAAGAGCTAGAAACATTTCACATAGAAGATCCTCCACAACTTCACCAAATGATCTAGAATTGGTGCTTTGTTTTATCTGGGATTACACTATTTTTTTTTTTACGGTTTTGTTAGAACACTAGTCTATATTCCAGTTTTCCTAGAGAGAATTTAAAAATGAAAGCAATAACTTGAATGTTTCCATATGGTCTTCAATTATTGATAAAGGGCAAAGAAGTAATGATGAGTGTAATGTGAATTTTAATTGGTTTTAATACTAAAAACCCAGAGTCAGATAGATATAAGGATTAATGTGAAAGATCAGAGAAGCTGAGCAACCAGCCACTTCTTACCTCTACTGAATCCTCAGACCAAAGTGGCAATCCTCTCCCTATGAATCCTCACACTGGAATGCCAGTTCTACAAAACCTCAAGATTGAATCCTGAGCCCCTGTCTCCTCCCGCCTTATATTCATTCTCTATCCAGTCATGTCACTTCCCATCTCCAGCCCCCTAGTGATGGGACTAAAAGTGTGAGCCACAATCACTTGGCTGGTTCTCTTTTAGACTGATTGAATCCCATGCAGCCCAGGGTGGCCTTGAACTCACAGATCCATCTGCCTCTGTCTCCCGAGTGCTGGGATTAATGGTGTTGTCACCACTGCCTTGCCCCATGGGCAAGTGTGGCCCGCTTTGCACTCTGATCTTCAGGCAAACAAAATGTCACCACAGATGAGAGCTTGTGAGATGGGATCCCACACATCTTAAAGTCAGTGGCTTGTCTCATACGAAAATAATGAAGTACAAGAAGTTAAATATATGTAGGAGAAACACTTATCAACTGGAAGACAATCACTTCATATTAACTTTCATGACAGCCTTTCTAAGAAATAGTTGATATAAAAACAGCAGAACACTACATCCTTCCATTACTAAAAAACAACCTGCAGGTGCTTCAGACAAGTAACACCCAGGTGTCAGACAGGCCGCTCTCTTCACAGCCTGGGCCTCCTCCAACCTTTCCTCCTTTACTTACTGCCAATCACTTTTAGTCAACTGGCCTTTGTGTCATCCTGACCTGATTCTGGAGGATTTCCAGATTCCTTAGCGTCGTTCCATTAATTCTCATGAATTCCATTCCACTTGTTAGCTGTTTAAAATTCCTGAGGGGGGGAAAAAAAAAATGAAATGTGGATAAGACCACAGGTGAGTACATATATTTCAGAAAATTGGAACTAGAAACAATCCAGTAATACTTGACAACACTTAGCATTTTCCTAAGAAATCAACCCAAAAGGAACGAGATGAGACACTCGGGATGCTGTCTGCTAATGATGTCACTGCTGGGACACCAAAGGCAAGAACACCAAAGGGAAAGGAAACGGATAGTGTTTCACGTTCGCTTGCATCTCCTAAAGCAGAAACAGACTTTTATCGCCGGCAAAGAACATAGTGGTTTCTTCAAGGAAAACTATGCAATTAGCTACAAAATCTGTCAATATACCTAAGTTCTCCCCTATTCTCTAGCATGAGATCACCTTAGTAAAAATTTTAAAATCTGTTACAAAACATTCCAATGTGTACAACAAATGTTACTTAGTCTATAATAACAATACATAATCATGTGGTCAATGTTTAGTGAGTGTAAAACAGAAACGAAGCAGAAGTGATTTCTTTAAACACGGTTCAAGGATTCATACACTCTTTATGTTCCTGCTACTCCCAGAAAAAATCAGTAATTTCAAATTAGCCGTGATAAGTGATTTTAAAACACATGTACAATTCTAATTCACATAAAGAAGAATTAGTCAACACATTACTAATACAGTAACAATTTCCCTTATCAGCTAATCCAACAGTGTTAGACAGTCTAGTGATTTACCAGCTTGCTTGCTTTGCTTGTTTTTTGTATCAATTTCACAATGTAGTGCAACCTAGGCTAAAATTTGTGATCCTCCTGCCTCTGCTGCCCAAGTACTGTGATTACAAACATGTGCCACCATGGCTTGCTAATAATGGCTTACTTTTAAGGCGAGAAAAGTAATGTTGAGTCATTAAATTACAGAGAAGGAATGTGTTCGGGTTTATACCACATCCAAACAGCCACTTCTGGGGCTAAGAAGATTTAAGCAAAACTTCAATTTCACAAGCCATCTATAGAAACAAGTCTTCACCCAGGAATACAGAGAATGTAAAATCAGACAGAGCCCAAGATGGTAGTGTTCACAAACGACCTCTTTGCTTCTAGAAGACCCCCAATCAAGGCCAAGAGCCCTGGAAAAGAGAAACAACTTACCACAACTAGGAGCAATTTACCTATGGGAAGTTTACTCTGCCTTTCAAAGGATCAGAACTCGTTAGTGATCATCAGAGGACAACAACCCTAAAACTCACTGACAGCACACTTGTGTAGCCTTTTCTCCCTCCTCATAGCTGTGAATTCTCTTGCAATACAGTAATCTGGACGGCAACTGCACCATTTTTAATGGACCTAAGCTCCCTGGAGGCAAGGATTCCCATCCATCTTCTGATACCATGGGGTAACAAACCATGGCTGCTTAGTGGCTGTCCCCCCTTCCGAGTGAATGTACCCCCTTCCCAGTGAATGACCCCATTTTCCAGGATGTCCCCCCCTTCCCAGTAAATGTCCTCCCCTTCCGAGTGAATGGCCCCCCTTCCTAAAAGAAAGCTGCTTTAGGTTTGTTCGACTGAGTCACAGAGCCCCAGAAATGTCTGTGATGCCCCCAAGCATAGCTGTAAACTATAAAACATCATTTACAGGAAAAATCAATTAGCCAGTGTTTGATCGTATAGCTAACAGGCATTCATGACAATTCACAGTCAAAGATCCAAATCAGAAGGGCTGGCAGCCTGATTCAGTGTTGGTGATGCTTCCTTTCCTGCTCTGGACAGACTTAATTAACTACATCCTAGCACTGATAAGTTAACACGTGGGTGCCCTAATCAGACACAGATCCTAAATAGGCACTACCCTAGTTGTGTGGATTGCTATGACAGAATACCTTGGAAATCTATAAACAAGAGAAATTTACTGCTCACAGTTGTGGGGCCCAGAGGTTAAAGACCAAGGATCCAACAAATCCAGAGTCTGCAAGGATCTGTTGCTCACACATAGTGTGCAGCTGGGGGTCCATGAGCCTCTTTTATGAAAGCAGTAAATGGCTTCCTCACCCGAGAGCCTCACCTGCCAAGGCCACCACAGCAATAAAGAAGAGATTGATAATTTGAATCTGGGGTTTCAAAGTTGGCATGAGAAAGACTATGACAGAAGCTAAAATGCAGCATCTCACTGACAGTTAGGATCAGGAGAGCTAGTGAACCAGAGGATGCTTCTAGACTCCTAAGCCTCAAACATCATCTCTCAGGATACATAGACTTTGAGATCATGGATTATTATACTGATCATGTGAAGGTATGGGCAACTAAGGGATATTTTTTAAATCATCTATACATTTTCATTTTCTAAAAGTATAAAACTTTTTCTTGTTCTTTTTTCCCTAAATAAACAAGAAATCTAAATTTCAAACTGGATGCAGTAAACAGGTGTTTCGTTAAGCTGCCATCTCCATGGACTTAAATCAGATACCAACCAGTAAGCAACGCTCAACCAGACTGACTCCTAAGCACAGAAATACTAAGCAGCATTGACAACTGGCTGTGCTCTGGGGATTTCTTGAATATGTGGTGGTAAGAACTCGGGAGTGGAGCCTGGGCTATTCCTTCCAAATACAAAAGAAATTTTCTTCTTGCCACTGCCTGTTTCCATTGGAAATTGTAAATATTTGAAGATTCTATCTGCTAGCATCCTCAGGTAACTCAATAGTATATAGTACATGATCACTGGCCTAAAACAGTCAAGCAATTCTGAATTATTTATACTCATGGAAAATGCAAAGTTTGTGTACTTTGATATGAACCTCATAAGTAAAAACTAGCTAGAAATCCTGCTGTGTGGATCTGGAGAGAAATCTTATGAGCCATATGAGGAAAGACCTCATTAATATTTCAGCAACGAAAATATACAAAATATCTCTGGCCTCAAGCTTTATAAGAGGAAAAAATAACCTTGGCAAAAAATTGCTGAGGGAATGTGAGGGGCTTTACTACCCCCTACTCTACTTTTTGTGGGGGAAGAGGCCCATCTTTCTAAAGAGTAGTGAAACCGTACCCTACCTGAATGGTCAACCAACTACAGAGAACCAATTTACATACTACTTTAAAATAGAACTGGAAATCAAAACACTATTATGTCACACATGAAAAAGCAGAGGAGCTCTATGGCTTTTAGAATGAATTGATTCGTCATTCATCTATCTTCGGGCCAGTTAATTTGTGCATTTTAAAATGCATGGGAGAGAAAAACCTCAGTTTCATTGTACTCACTTCTTGATTCATAACAAAACAAACAAGCAATAAACCTATTAGAGGGGGAAATAAAGGCAGATGACCGCCTCCAGAGCCCCCTGCCATCCATGTTCAGTGAGCAAGTCCATGAATAGGGAAAACCGTTGCCAAGCTACACATCACATACAGGGGTGATAACCAGAACGTACCAAGATCAAAAAAAGGGATGGGGCTACGTGAAACAGGGTTTGCAAAAGAAGAAAAGAATAATGGCTAAGAAACACCTTTAAAAGTAGTCAGCATGCTTAGCAATCAGGGCAATGTAAAGTAAAATTACTTTTGATATTTCATCACACCCCAGATAAAACGGCTAACATTAACAACACAAATGACAATGCATGCTGCCAAGGATGAAGGGCAATCCCTTCCCCACCGTTGGGAGTGCAAACTGCCAGTCACTCTGGAGATGGTGTGAGCATCCTCAGAAAGCATGGACCTGGACGCTGACTGCAGTGAGCATATGGATCACTGGGAGCTAGCTGACCTCCATGGCATTGTCTTCCAGCCTATGAACCTGGGAAGCTTGTCCACTTATTTAGGTGCTCTTTAATTCTTTCCAACAATTTTTATAGTATTCAGAATATAGACTGATTTTTGTTACATTCATTCTTACTCTACTTGAAGTTCTAACCAAACAAACCTTAATAAGAGCTACCAAAAATGGAAACAAATGCATTTCTAAAAGCCAATTCCTTCATAACTTCATAATTTGTAATCACTGAATTCTGTCATAACCATGTTGGGCAGCTTTACATTACTGTGACAAAACTGTTTGTGCGAGGGGAAGGCTGAGTTGGCTCACAGTTTCAGAGGCATCAGCACATAGTCACAGGGCTCCGTGACATTTGGGCCTGAATCCAGGCAGTTCAGTAGGGAGCAATGACAAAGCCAGGAGCCAGGATCCCAGTACCGGCAGCCTTCAGGTGCGCATCCCTGATACCCTCCCTCCACTGAAGCCTATCTCACCAGGTTCCATCACCACCCAATAATAAAGACCAAACTCTTAAACCAGAGGCCTTGGGGGACATTCAGCATCCACTGTAGCTAGCAATACAGTCTATGTGCACTATCATGCTGTCTTGCTCTAGAACAAACCTTATTAAATTTTCAAAACAATTCTGTATCTTCAAAATTTGTGTTATTTGACAAAACCCCATTTCACCTGTGCTTATAAACAATTCCTAAGATGTGGGTTTGGGGTTTTGTTTTGGTTTTTTGTTTGTTTTTGTTTTGTTTTTTATACCACCCAACACTGTTTATAAAGGCACAACCACCTTTCAGTGAATGCATATCAGGGTCTCTACCTCATGGCAACTTCTATGAAAGCCTATGCTAGACAAAGGAGAGTTCAAGTTAATGTTTCCCTGATAGCATAGCTCTTGAAGTTCAAAGTTCAGCAATGTAAGTGACACAACTGAGTTTTATGTCCAAGGAAACGGCCCCCACATTTGAATGCTTAGTCACCAGGGAGTAGACCTATTAGAGGATTAAGAGGGTTAGGAGGTGAGGCCTTGCTGGAGGAAAGGCGTCACTGGGTTTTGAGGTTTGAAAAGCCCACACTAGCCCCCAGGTCTCCTTCAGCCTGCTGCCTGTGGAGCAGGGTATAGTTCAGCTCCTCTTCCAGCACCATGCCTGCCTGTGTGCTGCCATGCTCCCTACCATGATGATAATAGACTGAACCCAATGAAGCTGTAAGAAAGCCCCCAATTAAATGCTTAAATAAGAGTTGTCTAGGTTAAGATTTCTAGATTACTTACTCTGGTTTGGAAAGCATCTTTTCCAGGTTAAATTCCTTGAGATACTTTATTATGGCGGCCAAGGAGCAGATCACAGGCTTCTCTAGGTTAATGACACCAGAGAAACTCTGAGAGCCTAAAAACAGAATATGTATCCTCAATATTATTACTACAGTAAAAATACATTAAGTAAAATTCATCTATAAAAATAATTATTTATATCATGTATACTAGGCTTGTGGGTCATGACCCCTTTGGGAGTCAAACGACCCTTCCACAGTAGTTATCTAAGACCATCAGAAAACACAGACATTTACATTATGATTCAGAACAGTGAAAAAAAAAAAATCAGTCGTGAAGTAGCAATGAAAATAATTTTATGGTTGGGGGCCACCACAACATGAGGAGCTGTATTAAAGGGTTGCAGCATTCAGAAGGTTGAGAACCACTGACCTAGGTAAAAAACTGATAAACAGTCCTTCTCCTTCAACTGAGAACTATTTTAACCTTCTTGTTGTATTTCCCTGGAACAGAGTGTTAGAAGATAACCCTGTCTCCAGTAAAAATGATCTCAAATCCATGCATTACTCTGGCTTAGAAAGAAATACACTCAAATACAGAGCGTTGGCCTTCTCTGAGCTCAGTGACTCTTAATATCTGGCATGCGCGTTACAGAGCTCCACCAAAAGATTCCTGAAGGGCACAGATCTCCTAAACCAGGGCAACTCATTCCCACAGACGAGCCTCTGTCCCTCACATGTAAGTCATCACGTGGGGAAAGCAAACTTAAGGCCTGCCGGCGCCACAGACTTCATAAGCTGCTGTGAGCATGGCTTACTCTAAGTACACGAGCCTGGTAGACAGGCTGCTTTCCATCCTATAACCTTATATCAGTCTGAGGCTCAGAATGGATTGTGATGTCTTAAGTGGATGCTAGTTCATACTGCTTTCACAGGTGGAATACAGTCTCAGACATTCATTACATTTGACTTAAAGGCATATGAAACCAGACAATGATGCCTTGGTGATGGCGAAATGTCAAGATAATAAGGCTTAAGCAGGGGCTAAGACAGGGCTGATGGCAAGTGCTCTACAGTGTGTGGCATGGACAGATTTCCTCCCTGTGCGGTATAATGGGGGTAGAGAGAGGAGAAGTCTGTCCTGAGAGAACAAGAAGTCCCTTTTCACCTTGCCAAGCCTGCAACTGATCCTGACGCAACCTAGACTGACAGGAACAAAATCACACCCTACTATGTGACAGCAAATGTGAATTAAACACATAATGGTTACCACACATATTGAGTCTGCTCACTAATGTGCTGGCACTATAATTCTGGCAACCACCCTTTCAAAATGCTAGACTTTATCAGAATATTTGTCAAACACTGTGTAAAGCAATGAGATGAGCCATCTTTAAAGATGGAGAAGAAGGGTTGGCCAACTACACTACACCTTCATTAAAAAACCAGCAGAGGAGTGAACAGTCACAGTGAAAAGGAAGACATTACAATGGTGTCCGCACGCTATTAGCTCGGTTTTCTTGTTGTGGCTGTTTTGTTTTGCTCTGTTCTGCTGAGACAGGGCTTTGCCCACTGAACCAGGCTGGGCTGGCATTAGAAACCTCCCTGCCTCAGCCTTCTCAGTGCTGGGGGCAACAGACATGTGCCAAGCAGGCCCAGCTGCAGTGGTATTCTAGATGAACCCATGAGCAGGTGTGCTGCCCTCAGATCCTTCCACATGTTTCTGTTCACTTCCTACTTGTCACTACACTGAAAGTCACACTCATGCCTTTATCCACACTGGGAATCAGTGCAATTGAGGACACACGGCTAATATCAATAAAATACTTACCCTTGCTGTCAGCTACCTCTCTGGCATAAAACTCTGTAACTGCCTGGAAAGCATGGCTGTATTCAAAATAAGTGTTATCCATCCTTTCCACTCGAATTCTGTCATCCTGCATACTGAAAAGAAACAATTGAAATTTCAGAGAATTACCCACTATCTTGAATTACACGTATTAAGGTGTCAGTCTTGAACAACAATAACAACAACAACAACAAAAGGCAGGCTCGTTCGTCCCTTATTGTCTTCAGCACAGACTGAGAACAAGGTGAAACTAAGCCTCCATCTTCATGTGAAAAGTGTTCTCCTTTTTTTTTTTTTATAGATTATCTCAATGCTACTTTGTCTACTCGCATTTCACAACACTGACTGCTTCATATGTGATTATCCAAAAGAACTCACTGAAATCAGAGGCAGCTCAACTATGAATGCAAAGGGAGAAATTTTAAAAATCATGGTGTTCAGAAATTCTAGCAAACAAAACATTGAGTTGTTCATTCTCGACGGGCACCTCTGCCTAGCTGGCTCGGTGCCAAGTCCATCTCATCCCAGCCACCAGTGAATTCCCCTCGGCCAGCTCTCACTCTTAAAGAGACACATAACCTCTTCAAGTAGGAGTAAAAGTGTGTATAAGTAAACACTGAACAGTTCGTTTCCCATTTTTCCTGAATCCCTCCTCTACATCTATTCTTTCTCCCATAACTGGATGGCTGCTATCACCTCACAGCCCAGGTGGACCCTTCCACAGTCTTTACTGTTCATCTGATCAGTCACAGATGCATATAGACTTACATAATCTATTCTCCACTGCATTATAAACAAACGATATGACTCTATACCCATCTTGTTTTCCTAGGTAGTATTTCTTTAAAATCTCTGCATATGTCAACAACTTGTGTAACTCATTCTTTTGAATGGTGGAAGATATGTCATAGTATGCTGATACAATGTATTCAGCCACTTCCTTATTGCTTGATGATCACTCAGTGTTAACATTATATTTTATGTTCAAACACTTTTATTTCAAAATAGTAAAGTAAAAGATAGAGCTATGGCCAGTCGCATTCATCTAGTCACCTTTCTCTAGGATACAAACACAATCATAAATTCAGTGCGCTCTTAGGCTCTGCAGTGCGTTGCAGAGGCTCACGTGTCTAACATCCTGAGTCCTGTTTTACTAAATCCGTAGCATTCACTTTGGGACACAATGCTATACTTCTAAGATTTACAAAGGCATACTCCATTCACTTGTGAATGCTTCTAAGTACTCCATTCTTGTATGTCCTACTAAAACTGACATTTGTTTTGCAGATACAATTTATTTGAACTTATTTTTATACACAGCAGAGGATTAGAAACACAGTTTGACTCTTCATGTATTAACCATCAGATATAATTACAGAGAATTCCATCTTTCTTCATTAATCATGACATTCCCTCCACTACCCATGTCACATCCCTCTAGGTATGACCCTGTCTCAGTTCACTCTACATTTTCTTGTTCATCTGTATCTCATCCAGGTCTCTATTAGCATGGGTAACAAGAAACCTATCTATACCTTACTCTCCAAAAGCTTTTCTAGTCTTGGGCCTCTGATTTTCGTTATAAATGTCCAATCCATCTTAGCCAGTTTCACAAACTTTACTGAGATTTTGACTGGATATATAATGACTGATTTAGAGAGAAATGTTACCTTGACAGGAATGTTCACTGATATAAATGGTATTTTCTATTTACATCTCTAACATTCAACATTAACACACTTTAATTATCCCCAGGCAATATAATTTATAATTATATAGATTAATATTCTAATACTAATATCCCCAACATTCAACAATAACATGCTATAATTATCTCCAGGGAGCTTCTGTATTCTGTTGGCTCTGTTTACTCCCAGTACATACAAATGGTGTAGAGCTCAGCATCAGGAATTCTGATGCACGCCTAAGTTAGAACCACTGCTCTAGACACATAAAGTCAGAGTGGTTGACATAAGAGAAACAGGGCAAGGGGTGGGGAGTAGGGTCGGCTGCTCCAGAACCTGCCTGGTACAGGAATCCAGTGATCTAAGACTACAGAGGAACTTACAAAGCCAGACTAGGACACCTGCATCTCTCCTCTTCCTGTTTTTGCCCTTTATCCAGCCCTTCTCTTGGTCTCTATATAAAATTTAAGGGAATTCTTGAAATAATCCCCTGCACAAGCTATAGGAAGCTTTTACTTTTCTGGTTTTAATGAAATTTATTCTAAACGAGGAAATTCTAAGGTCTGGTTTGAAAGTCCCACTACAAATTAAACATTAAACAATAGCCTGACAATACAGTCTGCCAAGCAGAGGAGGTAAAATCCTAGAAGGAAATTCATGATTGAAAAAAAAGACACATCATATTTATACTTATTGCTATGTCATAAAATAACCGCAAACATAAAATCTCTCATGTGGGCATATGGCAAGTATTACTCAAGTTCTTATTCTTGGTTTAAATCTAAAACGGTAGACAACAATGCAGTAGACATAAAAGAACCCCCCAATACTTGTAGAAATAGACAAACCATTATACAAATTCAAAACATCATTATAATAATTTTGTTACTTTTCTTCATCAAACATGTTACTGGTCAATTAAAAAGAGAACCAGTCTTTCAGTGCATAACTTTATAAGAAATAAAACCACACACACCAATTTTGCATCGCTTCATATACTGCCACGAAAACAGAGAACAGAATGGCCAAAACCTACAAATGATATACTATAACCGCATGGTATCCTTAAGAATTTCAAATGCAAGCTAAGGGGATGGGCAGCAATGAGATTCACACGCTATTTGCAGTCATGTGGCAAGTAGACAGAAACACCCAGGCATCAGGGACCATCACTGTGAAATAAATGTGGCAAAGGGTGGGCAGCCAAAAGCACAGATGAGAGCTGACTGGCCGGGGCACACACAATCCACTGTAAGATGTGGGGGGACTAGAGGCTGTGAGCTGACAAAACTGTCAAGACTTGGGAGACACGTTCAAGTACACGTGTATGTATGTGCACGTGCTGTGGCAGCCTGAGGCCAGTCAACCTGGGATACTCAGGAATGCTGCCTACATTATTTGTGAGACAAGGTCTCACTGGCTTGGGGCTCATCCCATTAAGCTAAGCTGCCTGGACAGCAAGTAGAGACCACATAGCAATTTTTAAACATGGTTCTGGAATCAAACTTAAGTCCAAAATTTACCAATAGCACTCCTTGGAAACAAAATATCACCATTAATAAAACAATCCAAAGTGAGTAGACAAGGGACAAGAGTCAAAGTAATTCAGAAGGGACACAGCAGGAACAATATGCAGCAAAGTCAACGTGCTAAGTAGACACATGCTAAGTCAGACGAGACCAAATGATGACACACTGTACGATTTTCTGTATGCAACTTCTAGCAAGAACAAAATGGACAAAAAATTAGCAATCGTTGGTGCTAATGGTGAAGACAACTTCAAAAAGACTTGAGACATTTCTTGGGGTTCTCTAACTGGACTAGATGTGGGGGCATGGTAGTACCACAGTCCATACTCTGTATTTAAAGTAAGTGGACTGGGCTTTTTATTTATAATGACACCGTAAGATACAAATGCGACTGTGACAAACAAGTTAGAAAAGCTATTTTCATCTATAATTCTCTTCTAAGAGAACAGGAGAGTGAATTTCATATAAAAAACAAATATTAGAAGACAATCAAAGTCAATTTCTACCCAAGTTATTGCAAGGAAACAAAAAGAAAACAGCAGAATGGCAGATATATAGCAAGTCAAATATCCATAAAACTTAGAAAATTTAGAACTTAATATTTCAAGGTAAGCATTAAAGCAATACAAAACAAACTAAAGTTTTTGTTTTTGAGTCACAGTCTCATTAATGTTGCCCTGGTTTGCCTAGTATTTGCTACATAGCTCAGGTTGGCCTAAAATTACTATTTATCCTTCTGCCTCAGCCAGAACTAGGATAATTAGAATGAAAAGAAAAATAACTAATTTCAGAAGTGAAATAAAAAACAGAAAGACACTAAGATGAACAGTTCCTAAAGATAATAAATGTAAGTAGAAAATGAAAACCAATGGCTAACTCAAAATGAAAGGAAAACAATTATTTAAAATATTGAAAAAGTAATAACAAATCCAGAAAATAGGGGGAGGTGATCTAAAATATGGAAAAGGTGTTCCCAAGATACAACACTGAAGCTCCACTCACTACCTAGAACTTACTAGAAATGCAAAACCTTTCAGCATGGTGGCAACATGCTAGCATTCCCAGCATTTCAGTGAATCAAGAGTTCAGGGTCATCCTCAGTTACACGAAATTCTATCTTAAAAAAAAAAAAGAAAGAAAGAAAAAATCCCAAACACACAAAAAGCAGATGCACTCAGACACCACCCAAAAAAAGTGTCTCATATTGGGTCCTAAACATTAGAAAAGTTTAAATCCAGATATTCATAAAAACACTTTAAAAAGCGAAACTAGTTCATCACTGGTGAGTGTTATGGAATATGTGTTTAACTATGTAAAGATGTGTTACATTTGTTTATCCTATATTTGTTTAACTATGGAAAGATGTGTTACATTTGTTTATCCTACATTTGTTTAAATATAGAAAGATGTGTTACATTTGTTTCTTCTGCATTTGTTTAACTATAGAAAGATGTGTTACATTTGTTTATTATGCATTTGTTTAACTATGGAAAGATATGTTATATTTGTTTCTTCTGCATTTGTTTAACTATAGAAAGATGTGTTACATTTGTTTATTATACATTTGTTTAACTATAGAAAGATGTGTTACATTTGTTTATTATGCATTTGTTTAACTATAGAAAGATGTGTTACATTTGTTTCTTCTGCATTTGTTTAACTATGGAAAGATGTGTTATATTTGTTTATTATGCATTTGTTTAACTATGGAAAGATGTGTTATATTTGTTTATTCTGTATTTGTTGAACTTTGGAAAGATGTGCTGCATTTGTGTTAGTTAAATAAAATTAACCTGGGTTCAGCAGGGGTGGGGAGGGTGGGGGGTGAGAGGGTGGCAGTTAGTTGACAGAAACAGCAGGGAGGAACACAGCATGGGTTTC